TATAATTATTTGTAGAATCAATTATTTAAAATTTACTCTAGACAAAATAAAATCATTCAGTAGTTAATCTTTCAAATGCTAGCAAAAAATATATTCTATTCGATTGACTATTTAAAATAATATAACATTTTACATTACAAGGAAAACTATATCATTCAAAATAATTAATTTTTTCTTAAAAAAATTTATTTTATTAACTTGATTTTTGCATAATATATAATACTCTTATTTAACATATTAAGATCAGGAAATTTTAAACTTATGTGTTCGATTGACAATAAATATTTTTTTAAATTTATTTATTTGCATTTTTATGATTAAGAGATAATAGTAATTCCTAGGAAATAGGATTGACCTGGAGATAAAAATAAACACAAACAGCAAATTAAATTTAACTCATTTTGAGATAAATCATGAAAAACACATTGGGAATTTTTTTATTTTATTTTCTTTTTTGTAAAACAACTTGCATTGTTTCCAAATAATCTATTTTGAAATGTCTGACTGAATCTGGCAATAGTAATGCAACAATTTTTCATAGAACTTTTTTTATAGGCTTTTCTTGTTCGTCTGGCTCTAAAGTAAAGACCAATGAAATCCTTCCCCAAACCTACTAATAATGTTTATTAGTTTATCATTGTTAATTTTTTAATACATCCTGGGTGATCATCATGAAATCACAGAAATCTCCAAGGAAAAAAAACACCGGAAAAAAATTCCCGAAAAAAAAAAGCACTGGAAAAAGAGCACAGTATGAAAAGCTCCTCATTAACTATTTTGTAAATTTAACATCCCCATAGCATTTAAATTTAATTTAATAATTATTTGAACGTATTTAGATACTTTTTAAATTAAAAATGAATTAAAATGCAAAATTTAATTTGAAGTTGATTGAAAGAAACTTTTACTACTTTACATATTTTTTAACACAGCCTTTACAATATATATAAGTTATAAATAATGTATCAATTAACAGTATCAAATATCAATTCTCAGGAGCAACAATTCTAATCAACAGCTCAACCTTTTGATAAATTAAAAATATTGACGAAAATGATAAAGTATTATTGCATCACGATAAAATAAGCTTGTTGCTGTTGTCGTCGGTCATTAAGGCAGAAGGGTGCGAGTGTTCTTGTTTTCCAGTGGCGCCATCTATGGCCAAGAATTCGATTTCTGCCACACCCGTTTATTGGGCAGACACATTCATACATCCATAGATCGTAATTTTAACCTGAACCAGAGAACGATCAATTCAGTACCCCCAGAGGTATTGATTTGTTATGGAAAATGGTGGACTTTGACAGATTTAACGTGCACCAGTCACCATTTACTACACGGGGAGTCTTCTGCCGGCTGGATTCGCACTCCCGCTCTCACAAACGTGAGTCCACCGCTCTGTCAACCAGGCTATCCTGGCCTATAATAAGCATAATTAATAAAAATTAGAACAATTTTAAATTTGCTTGAAAGCTCTTATCATTTTGTTAAATAATATGAAGTTAGGAGAGTTCCTATTCGTAAACTTTACATGAATCCTTATATTTTGTATATTAATTAGTTTTTAAAAAATAATGTTTAACTTCATTCAAACTCTGGCTCGAGTTGAATCGGTTGTTAAATTCATAAAAACATAATGACTGACGAAGTCTTCTTTTTTCCCTGTCCACCGTATCACAACAACTCTATTTTAACAATCATCAGTATTGTAATTATTAAAACTTAATGGGTAATCTGTGGTGCTAACTAAAATGGTTGCACGCATGCTAAACAAGTCAAATATTTTACTCCATATGCTTTGACACTAATAAATAGATTACTAATGCAATTATCTATTTGCATTGTTAAATAAATAATTAATTAATTGATAGTTATAATTTTTTTTGTTTTCTAAATTTTGGTACTGGGTTTTTTTTTTTTTTTCCTTTCCAAATTCGCAAAGTGTCTTTCCTCATGCTAGTAATACTCATGCTCCTTAGCATGCATACTTAACATGTTTCATACTAAACAATCTCTTCCTAATAATTTTCAATAAATATATAATGACATATAAGGGTATTTTCAAAAAAATAATGTTCACTTTTAGCAGGGATCCAATTTTATATAAATTACACACTGCAAAAAAATATAAATTAATAAAAAAACTTGCAAACTGACAATTTTCATAATTCACGTACAATTGAATCACGTATAATTGAAATATCCATTTTTGAATCCATTAATTGCTTCCTAAAAATCTTTAATGAATGCGTGTTGACATACATGGATATTTTCAAAAAATTGAAGCTTAATTTTTAATAGGAAACAAATTTCAGATGAATTACACATTACAAAAAAAAATAATAATAATAATAATAATAATTTTTAAGAAATTTGTGCAGTACTTTCCCTTATGCTGATGATACTGCTCATACTCTCATGTTTATTGTTTTGTACTAAATCAATATCTTTCGAATAATTTTTAATAAACATAAAACGACGTATAAGGGTATTTTTCAACAAATTGACTTACACTTTTTACTATCTAACCAGTTTCTTATGAATTACACATTGCAAAAATTTACGAAAAGTTCACAAATTATCTTCTTTATTGCTAGTAATATCCATGCTCTGATCTTGGTATGTTTTGAAATGTAATAATTTCCTAATAATTTTTGAAAAACATATAATGACAGATAAGGATATTTTCCACCAATTTAACACTCAATTTCTTAATATAAAACCAATGTCAAGTAAATATAATATTCCAAAAAATTATAAAAGTTCCCTAAAATATCATCAGTTCTATTTCCGTATAATTGAATTAAATATTCTCTTCTTAAAAATTTTCAATAAATATGTGAAGATGTATGGGTATTTTCAAACAAATTGACACTCACTTTTTAATGTGAAGCAAGTTTCAGATGAATAACTACATTTAAAAAAAAAATGAGTAAATAAGAATATATAAAATAAATAAATTAAAAATTCGCAAATGTCCGGGCATATAAAGAGTTTAGTGGAAGAACCATTTTTGTGACATTTTTTTAAAACAAATTGAGATTTCTTGGGGAAAGTTCTTAGTTTAGTCTTATTAAAATAGATAACAGTCATTTATATTTTTATAAAAATTCATTCCGAAGACAGTATTTTAGTATAATATTATTGTTACTAGCCGAATACTCGTTCTTCTTATGAGTTAAAATAAAACTAAATGATCAATAAATCGAAAAAGATCAACGGTACGAAATCATGCACAAAATTGAAAGACATATACCGACAAAATTAAGTGAAAACAATTGAGGCTATTTTATTTATTATTTGCTGCACTTCTTCGTGGCTTTACAGTATAAGATTAAGCAAAACACGTTTTTGGAAGTTCGTTCCAATAAAATGAAGATTAACAATATTCAGTATATCATTTGACACAATACTATACAAATCCTGATAGTCAATAATTACCAAAATCAATAATTACCACAGTACTTATAGTCGATATCATGGTACCTATGTTAGTATACACAGCACATGTTAAGACCACACCAATTTACATAATATCAGTAATACCTATTGCCAAATTTTTTTTTAGATTATTATTTTTTAATTGAAAATGGGCTCATCAGCAGTCTTGAAGATATGTGCACATACTATTATATAAAGTGTCATATCTGAAATAATAAACGTATTTGTATAGCTAAAAAAACTAATGACAACTTTTTCATAAAAATCGGCGAGGATAGATTATGAACGAATCACAGAGATAGATGGATAAATTTTATTTTGCTCCCTGCCAGCAGAGATTGCCGTGCTCATGCCAATTATACTTTGGTAGAAGCATATCAGAGCTCTACTGACATCAGGCTAGCAATGAGAAGTTTTCGTAATTTTTACATTTTGCACAAATGCTGGATAGTGTCTCTCTAAAGAATTTTTTTTGAAGATGAATGTGACCTCTCTTGTCTTCTAGATCCAAGGCTAAGATGTTAAAAATGAAAAAAAAGTTGCATATACACTGAGTGGATTGGTGTTGAACCCCAGAAAATCATGAAGTGGTAAGAAAAATTACGAAGAAAATTGAGAATTGTATAGCTAATCATGATCGTGTATCCGCAATAGAAAAAATACCCAAAACAGTTTTATAAGCATTTTGATTAATTAAAAAGTAACATTTTTGCATGAAACAGCTAATTCTTAATGAACAAAAAATATGTGTTTCAAGGCTATAGGCTATACCTAGATATGTTTTATATTAAAAATAAAAATACTTCTATTAAAGTCAGGCATACCTTTAGATGTAACAAAATGAGATAGCATTTTGACCACAATCAATATTTAAAAGAATACTTTTTTCAATAATTACCAAATTCTCGCCAATTAAAGCGATAAATACCGATAAAACATTTACTCTGGGAATGTTTGAGCTAATGCTGCTTTTCAATCGCTTTCGATGGGTTTTCGGACTTACAAGGGTGGATAAAACTTGCTGCCAGTTTGCTCCAAATTAAGGCTGCTAAGATTTTATTTCATGAATATAAGCCTAAACATATCTACATATATTTTATATTTTCAAACAAAATTATATTCGTCAAAAAATATGAAAAGTACTCCAAGAAAAGAAGCAGATGCTATGCAGAAAAACGCTACGTCTTATGTTACTTAGTATTTTCAAACATTCGTAATTTAAAAAGCAATCATAATGTTTAGCAACTAATTATAACAATGATTATTTTTTAGGTATAATATACAATTCCAATCAATTACATAAACTCACACATAAGCAAAAACGTCATTCTTTAAAAAAAAAAAATAAGCTTCATGTTCCAGAGTCAGAAGGCAAGACTGGCAGAGTAGGTGTCTACTGTTACGCTCAGCTATAGCTTGGTGGCAGTTCTATTAATCAGTCTTGACCTTTTTCCCTTATTTAGAGAGTTATTAAAGAAATTCTGAAAACTATATGTGTGTATTAAAGTCTAAAATGGTTTGCAAAAAAAAAAAAATTATCACAGATCTGACAAAATACAAAAAGTGATAGTGTATTTTAATTTAAATTAAGAAAGGAATAGATTCTAGGATGAAGAATACATTAAATAAATTTGTTTACATTTTCTATGTATAAAATTACAAATAAATAACAAAGTTAACGTCCTCCTCCTTGTCCCTCGGGATTTCCTGCACCAGATATAAACACAAATATCACAAAAGGTATTATATACATCCACTAAAAAGGAAAAGAAAAATAATTTGAAGAAAGAAAAATGACAAAAATCATTAAAAATTTGCATTAATAAATGATGATCTTATTTTTCAAACAGTCCACTCTAGCAGACGAGTTCAGGATTTTTGTGATATGCTAGAGTGTATCATGAAAAATCTAAATTACAAATTGATTAATAGTTGTCATTGTGATCATATATTGGCCAAAAAATATTTTTCTAGTCCGATTAAAAATATTTATTTATTTTGAAATGGGCTTACAATTTAAATTTTTGGATCAAAAATGCAAATTTTCCTTATTTTAAAGCACGATTAAGAAACAAATTTTTTCTTTTCAAGTTAAAAAATAAAAAGTTTAGAATGTGAAGCAAAATTATAATGAAATTTAACACTTAAGCAGTCTCCCAAAATCTTTATGAAAACCTTGATTTTCTATAACAAATATGCATACTTTCCTTTCTTTACTGATTTATTAAGATCGATTCTGAAGATACTGATTCTTTAAGATCAGTTATTAAGTAGATTCTGGGATACCTTACTGTTACATTTAATACATAATTTTTCTAAAAAAAAAACATTATTGTTTAAAATGTTTCTTGCAAATATTTAATAATTCACTCTAATTGAAATTATGCTAAGTTTTCTATTGTTTCTTCTCACATAAATTATAATAAATTATGAACTTTATTGCTGACTTAGCAATTTTTGTTTACCACTTGATTCAAACTTCTCAAAAACTCAACATCAAAACCATTTCTTAATATTTTTATTACCTCCCCCCCCCGAAAAAAAAAGAAAACCGCATTGTGCGTGAATAACCCTGCTATACTGTTCAGAAGAATAGATTATTAACAATTAAATGAATAATTCCATTTTGCCATTATTATTTTTAAGCACTTTCATTTAATTAATCTCTTTTATTTCATGAAAAATAAATAATATTCAATTTAACCTAGAAATAAAATTATAATAAAATATACACTCAAACCTACTTTTGTGTGGGGGATAGGGACCACCTAAAATAATTTGCACAAGATTTCAAGAGCAGCTATAAAATATAGTTTTCGCAACACGGTTAAAAAAAAAATAATTTTGTAATGAATAGAAACCGCCTAAAAAAGTCTCGCATAGAATCAAAAAGAGCCTTGGATCCTTCCCCTTCTGCTATTCGTTTTTAAATCAAAGTCCTTGTTTCTAAGGAAATTAGCTTCCTCTTTGTTTGTTTTTGTCCTTATTCATATTCAGGGATTATGTCTCAAAATAAAATAAAAATCCTAAAAATGTATATCTAAATAGAAAAAATAATAAATTTACCTTCAATTTACACTATAAAATGAATCTTATCTTAATGGTTCAGGAATGTGAATGCGTTTTGAAAGACGTCAATTAATATTAGATTTAAAAACTTAAACACACGAAATATTCTTTTTTTCTTAAATCACTTTATTAAGCAGACTTGTCACTTGCACAGATCAGAGATGAATAAAAAAAAAGTAACTCCTTGCTCCCTTCAAGTAAACTTCTACCTACTCGTTAAAACAAACAAAACAAAGTATGAGAGTAGTTGCCACCTATCTCATTCACTATCTCATTCACCACCTATCTCAGCAACCTAATGAGACACTAAGCATGTTTCAGAAAAACCTGAACTAACATAATGCAGCTGTCCTTCACTGTTTATTTGCGATCAGTTCATTCTTGCTTTGGCACACAAGAATTCCACCGTAATATGCTATTGCACTTTTCAATTACTTACATGAAAATTTTTGTGCGTTCAACAATTAAATTATGTGATTATAAAATTCAATACATATGCAGGGTTATTCATAATTCCCTCCGTTTATTAGAACCTTATGTTTACTACAACTGGCTTCAGTAGTACACGTTACTTCAATCTACTGGCAACTGCTTAAATTAAAACTTGAATACTTTCGGAATAATTTCATATGTTCTTTTTTGCCATTTTCGTCTTCGTTTTTTTACTATAACGCCCCGGAGGGAATTATGAATAATCCTGTATAATGTAATTGGCTCATGCTATACTTATGTAATGTGATAAAATGCATACCAAAAATAAAAAAAACTGAATGGCCGATCAAACCTACTAATTTTTTTATTTATTGATAACTCCATGAATTATGTTCCAATTTGATTGAAACTTTCATATACCATGCAAAGAAAAAAAATATCTTACAAATAAAAAATCACATAAAAAAAGACTGCACTAAAACAGATCTGAGTGTCTTTTAATATCACTGTAAAAATGATACTTGATTCCTGACAGTATGACATTTTCTGGCTAAATATTTTCGACAAATTATAATAATAATTTATAAATATTATACATACATTTAATTTTGTCTTACTAAATAGATCTGAACTATAAAATTTATTAAATTAATTAGAAAATTAACACAAACACATAAAATAAACTTACATATTTTGCTAGAAATGATCGATTGTCTCCTTGCTCCCCTCTAGCTTTCTCTGCTTTCTCTTGCTCTAGTCTTTGAATGTACGTTAAGGTGTCAGGTCTAAAACATAGAATAAGAATTACACATATAATAGATTTAAAGCTTGTAATTCTATAATCAATTACTTGAAGAGAGCCAATTGCAAATTAATTAGTAATAAAAATGCATTTATATAAACACAAGACATTAAAAAACATTTAAAAATATTTTTACAGTTCCTGCCCTCTGTTAAAATCACATCTGTTCTGAGAACATTTGATTTTATAAGGCTTACATAATTTGATTTTATATCCTGATTTTATAAACCAGAATATGTACTATTAGAAAAAAGAATGTTTCAAAGTTAAATTTTACAAATACTCTGAATTGATTACTACATTTATATTTCAATTTTACTGAATCTAAATTTGACATTTCAATTAAACATGAGCTATATTTTTTAATTTACAGAAGGGTTTTAAAATATTATATTTGTTTGACTGACAAAATTTTAAAATAAAAATTTAATGGGTTTTGAAAGTTTATAAAAGTTTTTGTAACTTTCCATAGTTCCTATTCTTTGTTGTATAGTTCATTTTTAAAAAACAAACGCTTTTCTGATATCTTTTGACAACGGAATAGCCTTATTGAATGAGTGATGGTCATTGATATTGAATGGTAATAAGTATTCCATAACTTTTCACAATTTATGAAAGTTTTTATTCAGATCCCTTTAGATTGCCTGCATCATTACCTTTTATATCCCATCTTTAAATTTCTCTAAGAAGCGTAATTCACGCTTGTGACATTTTTTTCTTTTTGTCTATAGAGCTAATTTGTTATTTAATGCTTTAACTTGAAGAAATAGAAAATTCAAATTTTTCAGACAAGAAAATAAGAGTTTTTATTAATTTACACAAAACTTTAACAAAATTTTTATTTTAAGTAGCACTGATAATGATTTTACAAAAGGATGCTTTTAGCATGTTTCTGTTTTTGCAGATTTGGTTTTAAAAACTAGTCGATTTTATAATTCAGTGATTTTATTAGTGGTAAGAACAGTAAAAAAAAATTTTTTTTTAATGGTGACTTACGAGGGGCCATTAGCAAGAGTAACAAAATTGATACTTGTGTTGAAACCCATAAGTTTAGAGGTTGGTACATGAGATCCAATGCAATGAGCAGGTATTGCAGATATTGCTATTCCATATGGAGCTCCACTTTGATCTAATGCAATTGTGATAGTATCGGTCAAACCAGATTCATAAATTGCACACTGCAAGATAAAACATCACACAATAAGGGCATAATTAAAAGGAACGCATAGAAGCAAAATATTTACAGCACATTTTGAAAAATGTTGTAAAACAAATAAAACGAACCCCACTTGCTTAAGTTAACCGGTGAGGACATATTGTAAGAAATTTTTTTTTAAAAAAATAAATAAATAAAGTAATGCTCAAGAGGGGGTTAGTTACAGGGGTGGACCAAGAAGACTGGCTCATTCCTCTTACAGATATGGAAAGGAAAATTAACTTTTCCCCCTCAGTAACACATGAAAGTAAAATAACAATAATAATAAAAGCACATTAATTGAACTATTTTTGATCTTTTAAATGTGTTTTGAATAATAGTATCTATATCACCTTCGCAGAATTTATTTAATTTATTTAATTCGCAAATAACAATATCACAAATAACAAAATTGCTATTCATTAAAATACAAGTTTAAAAAATATGAGAAAAAACACTATTTTTTCTAACAAACAATTTTTTTAATGTTTAGCATGCAAATTACTTCTTAGATAATCAAATTTATACTTTTGTGTCCCCCCTCGAGTCCTGCAGGCGGCCTCACGGTGGTGAGGGGGTGTTCCTGGGCGAAACAGGTGATGTACGTTGGAAGAATTTTTCTCCTGGTAGGGCAACCCTAGGCGTGAAGGCCGTTCCATTTTTGCCCAGCTAACGTCTGCAGGCGTTTTTGGAGCTAAATCAGAGTTCTACCACCGGTGCTCCTGACCCTTTTGATCAACAGAAGCTGTCCCCTTTACCATGAGTTTTTTGAGTACCTTTACCATGAGTCCTCTCAGCCTCCCATGACATCCATATTCAGTGGATACGCTCACACATGGGTTTTTTTGGCAACGAACGCGCTGATCAATAGGCAAAAGAAGGTACCTCCCTCCCAGCCTCTCCAAACACGGCCCTCACTTACTCTGAATTATTTTCTATCCGCAAATCTAAAGTTAATAAAGCTTGGCTTGTTCCACCGGATCACGATTGGTATCCCCGCAAGCGTCCCGGAGAAGCCCTTGACCTTCAGGGTACATTAGCCGACCAAACCGCTACCTGTAGATTTGTCAGTGGGCTTACTAAGAGCTTCACTTTCAGTGGACAAATTAAACTTTTTCCAACTTGTAAAAAGTGCAACTCCAGCGAGGCACCATCTACTTAATTGCCTGGATTTCACCATGGAAGAGGTTCTTGAGAGACCTCTCCTTTACCTCGATTTTTTGAAGACTCACGGCCTCATGGATCTGGTATAGCTCCGCTATCCCAGCTGGGATTAGAAACAACAACACATTTTTGTGTTTGTCTCAGTAGTTCTTGTGCTCTTAAAGTTTATCTGAAGTTGTGTCTTTCTCTAACAAATCTGCTTAAAAAAATTGTTAGATAAAAAAAAAGATTAAAAAAAAGGGTGCTCATAAATGGCTCATTAACAAGATTTTGCATAAGTAAGGAAATTTAAATTTTAGATAAACGGAATAACAAAGAAAATAAATTATTAATTCACGAAAGGCCACGAATTAACGGGATTCAGATTTACACAATTCGGTGGAATCACATAACCATAAATAAATATTCAATTCAATTAGAGAAAATTGTTTTAAAATGAACTATTACCCCTTTTCATGCTTCTGAAAATACATTACAATATGAATATTCAAAAAGTTCTTGGAGAAGCAACAGTTATAAGTGCAAATACAAATACATTATCTAGATATTTTAAATGCAAAATGAGTATCAAGGTAATTAAAATATTTCCATGCAACAAAATGTTCCCCAAGAAACAGATACAGCCAACAGGTACAGAAGTAGATACAGCCAACGCAAATCTTATTAATTTGAAAATAATTTTAATTAGTATAAAAAACTATTAAAAAATTAATTTCAGGTAATTGTAAAAAATAGATAGATTAAAATACATGTTATGAAAGACAGAGAGGATAAGTTATTAAGAACAAGTGACTTAATTGGAAAATAATGAATTTAAAACTATGAACATATTTCCAAGCTAAAACAACTCAAGATAAAACATTTAATGTCCTAAAGTAAAGCTAAAAATATGTGTATTGATAACTACATTATTGCTTAGTAAATATTTGATGAAAGATAGCTACAAATTGCATGGACTAAGATAAAATTTTAACATTTAGTTTACACATTAATACTTTATAATAAAAAAGTAGACGACATTATATTTTTAAAGTATCAAATTACAATAAAAAGAATAAAGGAAATAAAAAGCTTAGAAAAAAAATTATTTCATGAATAACAGCAACACAGAAAACTTACTGCTTTAGTAAAAGAAAAAACTGCATCTTCATCAGGATCATCAGGTTTGGTTAAGATTTTAATTCTGTATATGCCATCTGATTCAGCCAATTTCTGAAAAAAAGAGGGAAATTTACTAGCATGCCTGCATTAATATTTATAAAAAAGCAAATTTTCTTTTTTAAAAAATCTAAATTTTTTCCCTTTTTTAACTGCTTATGATTTGTATAAATTCAAGTCAAGTATATGTAAAATTCACAACATTAATAAAAATTTATACGACCATCTAAGTTTTCATTCAGCAATTCCAAAATATAAATGGAAAACAAATGGAAAAAAGTTTAAAAAGTACATATGTTCAAGTTATATTTGCTTCTTGGGATGAATGACATTTATAGTCTATTTTTATGCAAAGAACAACACAATATGATTTTAAAATATTTTAATAACATTTTAATTTTAAATGCCAACAACATCAATTTTTTATGATATATTTATGAAATGTAATTCCTGAATCACACATTAAGAGTAATAACTTTTTTGAAGGACTCAATTCGAGATAATTTCACTGTAAACCCACAAGGCCTTTTGATTATTTTTCAGCAGTTATTGGATTTCAACACAGTATTTCAAATCCTGATTTAACACAAGATTTTGATGCACTCAATTGATTTTTCGATTTCTAAGATTTTTCCTTCATTTTCAAACCAATTATTGCATATTTCCATGTGATTTTTAAAATCTCAAAATTTAAAATATATGACACATTTGATTCTCGCAGATTTCATTGCAAATCAACTTGATTTTGTTTATCCTTTTTTGTACTGTATTTCTATGAAATTTCAAAAGATTTTCAAAATCCTGATTTTTTTTTATATGATAATATAAATTATATGTGTTGCCATAATACACATTACATATTTCCTAGCTTTTAAAATGCCTTAAATTTAGTTTTAATCATTCTTAATCGAATTTTAATTAAATTAAACCAATTATTTAATTTTATTATATTTAATAAAAAGCAAAAATATAAGTATTTTATTATTTTCTTAACAATCAATGTAACGACTAACTTTTTATTTCAATACAAATGAAAAACTCAATAACTCATTGTCACGACTGGATTGAAAACAAAATCTATTTATGACTCATTATTTTTTATTTTTCACCACCAAAATTTTTCAGTTACAGGATTATACTAATTCTCAAGATTCTTTCTGGTGACCAGCTATAGCCAAATTATTTTAAATTTAATATTGATTATTGGATTTGTTTTTGGCTATTTTATCTTTCAATAAGTCACCGAATGTGGATATCTTCCCATACACCGGACTGTCCATTGGGAGCAATTCAGTTCACTTTCAATGAATAATCGGCATAAGGACTGGGGGCTTAGGCCGTCAGCTCAAGAGCTAATTAACGGTTTTTCTTGATGAGAGAACAAGTATGATTATCTGTGACCCTGGTCTGACAACGTGGACAGCACCTGAGCTGGTACCCCTCTCTCCAAACTTCCCCATCACTGCCAAAGGAAGCACTTTCAGCCGCAAGAGATTTATCATACCACTTGTTCCTTATACTGGTTGGTTGTTTTGCTGGCTTAAAGACCCGAACTTACGACCCCGGCCTCCGCTAATGATGTATGAAAGGCCTTAACTAATTGAGCCACTGAAGCACTCATTGATCCCTTTAAGGGACTTTCTTTCTTTATTTTATAATTTTGGAATGTGGTGATGTTCATCAAAATAAGATTTGCAGAATAAATCAATTTTTCCCAAACAATTTTATTTATTTTTCAGCGATAAATATCCTTTCTTCATATTCAAATTAAAATGTATCTGAAAGAGCCATAATATGTTTAACACTACAATGGACTAACCACCTCCATCATATGATGATAGGTAAATTTTTAAAGTAACAAATTGGTGAATTTTTGCATATGATTTTAGTAATATTTGTGAATAACTTAGTGACAATTATCACTTTTTTGTTTTCTACAACAAACCTTAAATATATGTACTTTATAAAATTCTCATCGTCTTCTAAACTTATTTGTTATATTCCATATTCCCAGTGAGCTTCCTCAATTGATAAATAATAATATTTTTTAAACAGTAACATAATTGAAATAACTAAATAACCTAATTGAACAACTTTATGACTTAGAATAGTATACTATACATTTTGGCATCGAAATTTGAGAACACAAAATTAGACATAAGTCATACTTATGGTTTCATTTAAGAACCATGTTAAACAGGTCTGCTAATTTGAAAAATATCTTATTAAAAATTAGTAAAAGAGTGAATAATCGAAAGAAGATGGACAACAAAAGACTGGTCTGGAAGAACAATCTTTGAGATGATTAGGACTCACCCTCGGCTGCTATGCCATTAAAGAAGAATTAGATGTTGTAAGCGTCAATGCAATTATAATTCTTAAAAAAATTTGTCCATCTCCATTTAATTTTTCTATAATTACTCAGATAGGAATTGGTACAATTTGTAGCATTAGTTCAAAAATGGTGAATAATATTTTTTAAAGCTGATTTTGCCCAGTTAAGTGCTTTTCTGGCTGATAAACAATATTTCAGTTGAGTTATTATAACTTTACATTTTTAACACTAAAAATTATAGTTTACTTTAGTGTGATGAAATATAGTGTTTTTTTTTTTTAACTCCGCTGCAAAATGATTTGAATTTGGAATTTGTCTAATACCGAAGAGAGTGCAGTGGCATATTTCAAAGACTACAGAATCATTTCTTCTAAGAATATGTGTGATATACGATATGGCGTTGCATATTATGGCATTGTATTCTTTTCATTACATATTTTGACAATTAAATTTTTTTGTTATTATTATTTAATATTATTATTATTTGATAAATTTAATGTGTTTAGAATGTTTCTTTTCGGAAAGTGCTTTTCATTATGATGGTGCCGAAAAATTTGCGCATTTTCGCAATCGTTGTCAGGTCGGCAGGATAATCCCAAAGTACCAAATAAAATATGTCTTAAAAACATTTATATAACAATCTTTTTCTTTCATCTTACAAGATAAAAACTAAATTATGTAAATTAGCACTTAAAAACATGCAACAAATAACAATAAATGTTGGAAAAAGGTGCTTAGACTAATATACCTTAAGTTTTAGAATATCTTCATTTGTAAGTGATTCTTCATCTGAATATATGGCTTCATTGCGTGAGGAAAAATATGTGACTATTCCTCTAGGAGTATAAACTGGAGGTGAATCATCTAGATGGAGAAAAATGAATATAGGTTATAACAAATTATAAAAATTAACATGTGAAAAAATTATTGGTAGTTTTTAATGAGAGATTTTAACTCACTTACTTGATTCTATTGAATGATGTATATAAAATGATACATGGCTATCAGGTTCCTCTTCCTAAAAAGAGAATCAGCAATGAAAATTCAAAAACTAAATCAGATAAATTTTATTTTTCTTTAAATTTTTTTTTATTTTTTACAATAGTCATTTCAGTAATTGTGCAGTTAATTAGACAATGCAAATAAAATGGAGTACATATTTCTTAAAAAGGGAATTCAAGCCATAGCCTAATATGAGACCTGCCAAGACCAATGTGAGATATAATAAAAATAAGGTCAAGTTCCTTCTTTTTTTGCCTCAATTATTTCGTCATGTACACAGTTAAATTAATTATTAAAACTTCAAACAATTAAGCAATTAAACAAATTAGGGAATTATTTTAAATAAAGAGCAAAATTAATTCAAGAAAAACATAATTTAAAAGGAGAAACAACAACGAAATTGCAACAACTTCAGCTGTGTAAAAAAGTTTTCATAAGTCAAAGTCAGGTTGGCATATACTAGTATCTCTCTTTAACTTAATATTGTATACATTGCTACCTTAATTTCATGACTTGATAATTAATTACACATGGAAATTTAAAATACTTAAGTGGTTCTCTACAGCTCTATATGGAGTATAAGGCATTAAAATATCATAGTTATGTCATCAAAATAACTACGGTTTTGTAATGAAATGTTTTTACTTTCAGAATACTGTAGAAAATTTTATAATAAAAACATTTGAGTGAAAAGATAAATTGTTAGCATAATACAGTTTAAATAAGATTATTTTAACCATGGCGAACTTTATATAAGTGTGATTCAGTTACTAGTAGTGAAAAAAAACTAAACAATGGCAATTAAAACGCAGTAACATATTTGTTGTTATAAATTTAGAAATCAACGGATATTTCGGTATCGTGATCTTTCTCACGAACTACAATCGCCAATGAACCAAATGGATTCCAAACTTTCTTTTAAAAAAAAAAGCATGTAGAGTTTTGTTACAAGTTCGTTTCCTTCTGTGATTTTTTTTCAGTTTCTCGCGAGCCGCTGCCCAGAAGTTGCCATGACTTGGCGATTATTTTGCCGAAGATCACAATACGGAAATCTCTCCAGAAATCATTGAAAATATTCATGTTTAATGCACGATTTAATTCATTAAAGTAATTAAACCTTACACATGAATCAAGATGAAACAAGAAGATTAGAATAGCAACTTTGGCTAAGAGAAATCGCAAGTATTTAACAGAATTCATGACAATTATATAAACTTATAGAAAGTTACTTTCATTATTCAATAAAACAACTAAGAAACTAAGTAATTGAACAAATTAAGAAGGTAATTCTCAAATTTATAGGAAAGTAACAGTGAATTTTGTTGGAAGTGTATTTGTTTATTTAAAAAGCTTCCAGCTGCTTATTTCAGCCTAGTTAAAGATTCGTATTAAATAGAATATTTTAATTTCAGTTAAACGACGTAATTTATACACAATACACTTCCTTTTTTTTTTTTCTATTTAAAAACTGTGACCATACGAAAACTAAAATTGTTTATTTTGATTTCTTTTTCTTTACTCACATGTTTTTGATCCTCATCGTAAACAGTAATTCTAAATGTTTTTAGAGTTTTAAGGTTAAGTTTCAGAATTGTAAAGTAAGTGTCAGAAAATGAATTTTAAACTTCCGCCAACATTCAGAAAAATAGTTGTTAAGAAATTAACCCCTGTTTTTAAAGAAGCTATCGATATAGTACAGGAAAAGCTTGTTCGACCCGGGCCAAGAGACGTTTTAATTAAAACAAAGTACGTTTAATTAATTCATGAAGCTATAAAGCTTTTTTTGTGCAACTATGGATTATAAGTTTTGTTTTTGAAAAGCATTATTTTTTATAGTCCTTCGAATGCGAAAAATCGATTAATATGATCTCTTATCAATTTGCTCGTTATATAATATTTTTAGTAAAATCACACTTTATTAAAAGTTTCTTGTTAAGTTCTTGTAAAGTTTCTTGCTCTCAATCACTTATATAGAAACCACACTACTCTATATTATAAATACAAAATAAAATTAATTTATTTTTTATCGGATACATTTATAAAAATTCAAGGTCATGTATAATTGCCAATATTAATTTTTCCCTCATCCTTTTAATGATACTTTGCTTACATCCTCTACTAATCCTATTAATGTTCAAATATGATTAACTGAGACATGTTTCAAAAAGTTTTTTTAATTATTCAGCATGATTCTTTAAATTGCTGACTAGTTTTTACTAATTAGAAATTATGATATTTTATTCATCTGTTTAATGTTTTTTTTTTTTTTACAAGAAAGTGGGTTTAAAAAATGATCTCTTTCTTGTCTATAAACTCTCATTGTTTTACATATTGTTTTTCAAGCTATGATTTTATGACCTCTTAATTGGTTAGCTTAATTCGTCTCTCATGATCAATTTAATGTATGCCAATTATTTTGCTATCAGCAGTAGCACGGCAAGAAGTTTTTCGCTTACTAAAATTAAAATACAATTGATGTTCAACATGCGAGTTATTTTGTGTTTTTGTATAAACACATTTAAATTACCAAATCAGATATAATGCATTCTCTTTTAATAAAAGTATGTTTTTTAAATGAGTTTTTGATTTTCAAATTAGTGGAATGAGATGACAACAATCTGGAAAATGCAGACATGTTAATTCTGTCAGAACAATCAAAAGTTTGGTTCCTTTAATCTTGGTTTATTTTTGTTCATTTCACCATGTTTCTAGACTATTTAAGTGCATCAAAGAATTTCTGTGTTGCATATAAATACAAAGCTGATTTTTTTCTAGTAGTTTCATGCATATTTGGATTTTTTTTTAAATATGGTTGAAAAATTCTTGAGTTGTCGTCAAGTTGCACACAAATTTTATGTCAATTTTAAGTATGTAATTTTAAATGACAAAATGATAAATTTGAACAGAATTGGTTCAATGGTTCTGGAGAAATCAATAATAAGATTATTTTTAAAATTATATAATTCAGAAACTATTCTGTTCTTGTTTTGGATTTTGTTATTTAAAATTACCTAGAAAATTACGAATTTATCAAAAAATATACATTCGTTTAAAGAAAATATGCAATTGTGTTTGATCCTACAACTTAAATTATTACCCATACAAATTATTTAGCTCATTTAAAGTTTGACACTTGAATCATTAAAATCCATCTCAGTAACTTAAAATTAAAAAATTATTATAAATTAAAAAATTATTATAGTGGTTCTCATAATAATTTAATAAAAAACCCATAAAAATAAACTGATGTCTCAAAATTAAAATAAAATTTTTATTTTTAATTTGAGACGTTATTTTATTATTATGGGTTTTTTATTAAATTATAAAAGCTTTTTTTATTTTGCAACAATAATATGTTTAAATTACTGCATTTTCTGTTTAATGTATAGTATACAATGTGTGCAAACAATGTGTATTTCTTGGGTAGATGCTCTTAAATAATTGTTAAATAAAATATGTAAGGCGAAAAGTCATAGTTTCAGGGGAGATATTTGAAAAGAACTTGAGCACTTACTGTTTACTTTTGCATTATTGTTAATTTATCATGATTAATGATGACTTCCAGGAGAAGAGACGGCTCATGTGATCAACGTCAGATTTTATATGGACAATTTTCTAATTAATTTAAATGTAGTGGATGGATTACATTCTATTTTTTACGCACACACGCATATGTGTATGTGCGTTACTTGGAACGTTTAGACACCTTGTTAAATAAATATTATCAATAAAACATACTGCAACTGCAAAGTTTTCAACAAATAAGTTTGCCTTTTTTTAATGAAGCTCTTTTCACCTCCGTTTTATGTGTTCACTGATACAGATTTAAAAAAAATTGTAATTTGATATAATTTAGAGTATCCTATTTTATTATATACTTTTCTCTTAAAAAATTTTTTTTGAATCACTGTTTACATTTTTATGCTGCAAAAACCTTACTTTAAAATTATCTTTTATCAATAAAAATAAATAATTGGTTTGGAAAAATAGTTTGAAATAAAAGCTTCATAAAAAATATTTTAAACAAATTTTTAAAACAATGTGAAGAAAAGATAACATGTGAGTGACCCAAATACAAATGTAGAATATGTAATTTTTTAAGACAGAGCATCATGATGGGTTTAAAATAAAATCTTAGTTGAAGAAGACCCAAGTTTTTAATAAATTATATTTTCGAAACTAGGTTTGTTGGAATAAATGCTTCTGATACAAATGCTGCTGCAGGTCGTTATTTTAGCGAAGGTGCAGCGACTCCATTTGGAATTGGATTTGAGGTAATTATTCTTAGAAAAAATATTTTATTTGATTACTAATTAATTTATTTTATTTTTTTCTATTAATTTATATTTTACTCTGGTTACTTTTAGGGTATGGGAGAAGTGGTTGATGTTGGTGCAAAGGTGACTGAATTAACTTATGGTAAACCTGTAATGTTTCAAAAAATGGGTGCATATTCGGAATATGTGGTAAGAATGTAATCTGTTAAATGCATGAAATTTAAGTTTGTAAAACATTAGTTCTAAAAATACGTTTAAATATTGATTCAATGTTTATTTCAACTATTGTTTTTCAAAAGCATGATTATTCTCTTTTTTTATATATAAGTAAGATATTAATTGTAGTATATTCAATGCAATTTACATAGGAATGGATAATTTGGTAAACTAGTAAGATTTTATTATTATATGCATTGCATTTTATATTTTTATTTTAAAAAATGAATCATGTAAGTCATAATTTCTTTTAGATTTTTTCCAATAAAAAATGTTTATTTTATGTAATTATTCTCTAACTATTCAAAGAACTTCACATATTTAACTAAATTGCTTTATTTCACTTTAAAAATGCAGTGTTCTTCAATTTTAATTCATTGTAGTTAATAAAAATTGTCATATGTCTTTATTTTAATAACATTATTGTCATTGTCTTAGACACATTATACTTTAAACTAGGGATTCCCAAACTTTTTCTTAGCCATTTCAACCAAAGAATTAGATTTTTTCTCTGTGCACCAGCCCTGTGATATATTTCATTGTTTATATTCCAATTCTATTTACTGTTCAAATATACATACTTAATGTATCTATATATGCTTGGATTCCTTGTCAAAAACAAAATTTTTAAAAAAAAGCATGCATATCAGAGGTAGTGAAATAATACTTACATAATGAAAAAACTAAATGCTATCTACTCATTAATGAGAAAGATGGGGTGAAAAGCATCAAAACCAATTTTATTGCCTCGTGAAATTTCATATGTGTGTTTGATAATTGTTTTTCAAATACTTTTTTGTTTCCTAGGACAATCAAACTGTTTTTGATGTTATCTGTTCCACCTTCCTTCAATTGGTTAAGAATCAATATATTTTCTCCTTACTTTTTTCTCAATTTGTGATTTGTAATTACCATATTTTCTTTACTTCATATTTGACAAAGATTCTAAAATTATGTATTAAGGATGGTCCTAGTCATTGTTGAATACCCTGTATGATAGATCAGTCTGCTGTTTGAAGCGTATTGACTAAAAGTATAATCTAACCACTCAAATTTCTTCCCTAACATGATTTTGAATTATAACAACTGTTTCAAATACAATTCATGTGGAATTTAAATTCAGAAATGGAGAGACGCCTGAAAAAAACTTCTCGAAAATGCTAGAGCCCACTCAAGAGCCACACTTGAGAAGAAGAAGAAGAAGAAAGGTTATTGGTGTCTTTAGTCACATCACATTTTTCTTGGCAACACTCAAGATTGCCACTATATCTAAATGGATTGGCTAAGTTAAATTTTCAAATGTTATTTTCTTATTATTAAGCTTATTAAAATTTAATTTAAATTTTTATAATTCCTTACAACCTCCAATGTGAACTCAAAATATCTAAATATCAAGTCAACAAATAAGTTCTCAGACATTTGAAATTTAAGTGTATAATATCATATATTAGTGTATAGTTAATGTTTATTAGTGTATAGTTAACGATATTAAATGATCATTATATAAGTGTATAGTATAATGCATATATGTGATTAAAATTTAAATTTTAGTATGCATCTGAAAAAGAAGTGATACCCACAGCATCGTGTGATGTCAATCTTCTCCCTTTACTTGTAAGTGGATCTACTGCCGCACTTAGTTTAGATAAGGTAATTATACATTTAGTCTCCTAATACAATTCACTTTAATTAGATACTTAGCTTAAAATCTGATTTAGCCCTTTAATAAATTATATCTGATTTAGCCATTTCAAAGCAGTACAGTTTTTATTTAAATTTTCTAATTTTATTGATATTTTTGTATAACTTTGTCTTAGAAACATAAAAGTTTTAATTTTTTTTTTGTCTTATTAAGTTTTAATTTTATTATATCATTGTTTGTAAAATAAAAAATTAAAATCTTTTATTGGGCAAAAATATTTGTCTTAAACATCTAAATGTGGTTTAAGATTTTTCCTATTGTTTGGATTTCGAAGATTTTAGTAATAGTCAAATAGTCTATTCCAACTTGGCTTTCTATACCTTTTATTTCATGTAGTTTTTGCTCTTACATTCATGGCTGTACATGTAAATATTTTGTCAGAAATACTCTAAAATGCATATTAAATTAATGCTCCCTCAGATTTTGATTCTAAATAAGAATTTATAAGCCAAAGCTACCTTTTTTTTATTAATCACTCTTATTTTTATTGAAAAAGAATTATATGAAAAATAATACATATATGTTACGGACGGGGAGTGTCGATGAAGCTTCAAAGCAGTCTAGGGTTGCGTTTTAAAGCTTTTATTATGACAAGAAACACTTAAATGGCAATACAAAATAATTAGAGCTGGTACATCTTAATGAGCTCTCTCCCCGTAGCCATTCAGTGAGTGAATGTAGCGGGAGTCTGCTTAACTTCAGATGGCGCTGCATGGTGTATGCAACATATATAAAAACTAAAATTTAAATGTGAAAGTAAAACTGTGAGTGATATTTTAATTACTTTATTTTAACGTATGGCTCAAATCTTTAAAAATCTCAACAATGCCTAAGTATGTCATTTTTCATTATAAAGTTTCATTAAAATTAGTTCTTCTTCAATACTTTTATTTCCTTTTTACATTTTGTTTTTCTTTCTGATAAGTGGGAAGGACTGCATGGAAAAAAGTTTCTTTATATGAATAGTTAAATTCACTTAGTCGCTAAACTCAGTTAGGTACATTCATGTATTTTGATAAATGTATTTTTGAAGAGGATATTTGGGCACGTATTTTATAAACCAGGACATGTCAAAATTTTTTAAGCCTTGGTGCAACGTAATTTTCATGAATTTTTCTTAAAGTAAAGATCACCTCCGTTTTTTCATTTTGTTGTGTCGTTATAATACTTTTATATTTTAATACAAAGTTCTGTGCTTTAGAGAGGTTTTTTTTTGTTTAATTCAAAATGTTATGAACGTAAAAGTTGTGTGTTTATCATTGGTATGTTTGAATTTTGTTTCCTACAAATCGGTATTTATGATTATAAAACAATAATTATATGTTTTGCATTTACAGTGTGGACAGATAATACCCGGAGATAAAGTACTCATCACTGCAGCTGCAGGAGGTGCTGGTCATATTGCTGTAATGCTTTCTCTTTTAATTCTACATTTATTTTGTTTATATTGTTATATCCTCAAATTTTATATTATGTAAATACTGATAATTATGCATTATTTAGAGTAATGTGTAAGTGCTGAACATGCTTGAATTTTTTCTTCTGTTATATAAATTTTTGTCATTAAATTTTCAAATTTCAAAAAACTTTCACTACCAATGTATGCATGTAGTGATATACATAATAAAGTGATAAACATTGCTGTTATAATTTTGGTAATTGCCTTAGATTTAAATCTGCATTCTAAAACAATTTTTCTTCATGAATTATGATTTTATAAGCTTTCAAGATTATTTTTCTTAGAAAATTCTTATCATTTTAAAACTTGGTGAAATAACTAATAAAACATGCATTTTGCATGTTTGTATTGATCCTGAAATGTTTAATAATTAATTTATAGCAATCAATAATGAACTTGATAGTATTACATTGTAGTGGAAGGTTGTCACCACTGCATGTGCTAATTTAAACTTATTTCTCACTTAATTTTTTTTTATTACTAAAAAAGCTATTTATGAATTTGTATATAAATACAAATTGATTCAAAGATTATTTGAAGAATAGATTATTTGAATTAGATAGAATTTGATTCAAAGATTAATGTAATGTTTATCTAGACATTTTCAGGTAGCTTCTCAAAAATATTTTTACTCTATATAATTAATAGCTCTGAAGTCTTGCTTCGTTCAATAACATTATGATTTTATACCTGTTTTAACTACAGTAGAGGACCATTTATCCGGTATCCAGATAACCGGGAAACCAGAAAACCGGGGGAAATTTTGCTCGATTTTCCCGCCATTTTAAACTAGAACAAAAAAAGCGGAAATTGAACTCATCCTTGAAGTTAAGTAGAGGAAAATGTAAGGAAGGGGAAATTTTTCCCCCGTTTACCCAGAGAAACGTCATTTCCTCCGTGACCTTGAAGGCAGGGAAGGGAGGAATGTTTTAATTTTTCCTTTAGGCCGTCAATCAAACTCAAGGGTGTGGCATGCTGATTTCGTTTTCTGCTTGATTTACGAGGGAGGTGGGGAAAATGCATTGCAAGCATATCAGTGAACAGAAAAAGAAAAGAGAAAAATATATTTATTTGACATCGACTAATAAAAATAAAATCTTTTTCTTTTGAATAAATTCTCATTCTTTGGAAGTGCGGTATCAATTGCAAGTTTTTCTTGGTGTGGAATCACATCTGCTGTAATTAAAAATCTTGTTTTTATCAACAAAAAAA